TCTACGGGAGTACTTCAACTTTGAAAAGTGCCTCACCCGTCTTCGCTTCAGCCTTACGCTGCCAAAACACAGTGCAGTGGCTAGCACCGACAAGTGTGAAGGCGTCATTAAAGTACACTCTTTACTGCTAAATGTGTTATTTTATGTGGCTATATGCGAGCCGAATAAAAGAGCATCAATGATTAAATCAGAGTGTACTTACACGATTCATAAAAACGTACATAACTTGACTGTTAAATAGTGCAAGTCTTAAATCCTCATTTCTTAGATGGAGTCTGACGCCCCAGAGTGACACGTATTAGGGCTAGGACTTCACCTACCAGTAATACGTGCATCAAACACCAACCGAAAAACAACTTCTTTTTCTTCGCTTACCGCCAAGGAAGCGTCACACTCACCGGTATCCACCTGCGACATTCGCTGGTCCTTGAAAAATGAACTAATAATCACTTTGTCAGCTTCGTCCACTGCATGCCGAGCAGCTCAACTCTTTTTAACCCTGCTCCCCGTCAGCACATCCTACTGTGAGGGCGAGCAGTCCGCCTCGGCAAGCCTGCAGGAAACTGTCATCGCGGGAAAGAGGTCAGCCTCCTTCAGGGAGGGAGCTTCAAACCGCACAGCACAGCAGCAGACACGGGTGCCACCCGGTGGCGGAAAATCCACCACAGACATCGAAAGAAAACTAGTTTTAAATGATAAAATTCAAGTTTAGAAAATAAAATTTAAAGCAGATTTAGTTTAGCATGTTGAACTGACCATTTTACTTTCTCTATTTTCATAAATACAGTGCTCACAGATAAAGTGATGCGATTTTTTGTCAGTTCAACGCTGGTTTATCGTTGTATATATAGAGAAAAGTGATTGTATAAAATAGTGACTATTAAAGTGTCACATGCCTAATCTAGATTTAAAGCCCTCTGGCATTTCCTCCCCGGTCTAAGTCCAGCTCATATATTCAACCATCAGGTATAACGTTACGTGGCTGCAAGGAGGAGAAAACTGAAAAGGCAACTAAAAGGTGCCGACAACGCCACCTGGTGGTGGGGTTCACCCCAGGAAATATTAGATTAACCAGTGCAAAAGTTTTTGCGAAGGCACACAGGTTTGTTATTGACAAAGACAGAGGCGCGGCAATCACTCATTTATTAAACAAAATAACTGAAAATTAAGTGACAGACTACAAGACATTTAATTAAAACACCAAATATTGCTTAAAAACAACAAAATTCATTGATTAATGCAGTTAAAGACAGGCAACTCGGAGAGGCCAGGGAGGAGTGCCCAAGGGGTGCTACCAGATACCCGAGATTCGCACTGCAGTTCTCGCTGCAA